TTTATCACGGTAATCACATCAGATCGAACCACAGCCACACGTTCGCAATGATGCTTAAAAAAGCATGTGGAGCTGTCGCTGGTGAACAACTGTATGGCTCTCGAGTCATCCGATCGTCATGTGCATTACTTGACATTCGTCCATATCACTGCACCTTGCAGCCATCTCGTTGGTCTCCCTAAAAACTGGCGCTGGCGTGGCACAAACAGCCGATTGGGACCTGGGCAACATCCGCGACATTAAACCCTTGCCATCGTTGGCGGAGATCATATTATCGAGGTATCTGAGGCAAAAAACGACTGTACGATGCAGGGCCAAGGTTGGATTACGTTCCTATGGTAGCGTTCTTGACTGCAGCAGAAGCAAAAAAGCCAGTACAAAAATGGAACGCTGTGGCACATAGCATGCACGTCTAATTGGCAGGAGGCACCTCCGCAAAGAAGATTTATCCAATAAGAGTTGGCATTGCTGGCACAAATGACCAGCTTTCTTCTTTTTTGCCCATGATGTCGAGGAAACAGCCTTTCAAAACAAAAGCTGCCAAATCATTTCTCAGTTTTCAATTGCTTTGCACGGATATAGTTGCCCTGATGAAGGTTAGCGCTTTTAGGCTCTGAAAAATTTAGGCCCTGAAAGCAAAGAACGAGAGTCTACGCACCCAAGCCTGGCTCCGTACAATCCCAACCATGCGGACGCAATCCAAACGGAACTGAAGGTGACGGCTGCGCGTGCTTGGCTACCAAAGAGTCTACGCACCCGATCATGGCTCGGCACAATCCCAACCATGCGGACGCAATCCATACGGAACTGAAGGCGACGGCTGCGCGTGCCTGGCTACAAAAGAGTCTACACAACCAAGCCTGGCTGGGCACAATTCCAACCATGCGGACACAATCCACATGAAACCGAAGGCGACGGCTGCGCGTGCCTGGCTACAAAAGCCGGCGCTTGCGAACCGTTGTCCGTCTGATCCCCGCGGCGCGCGCGCGCGAGCGAGCCACCCCTGTTCTGACATCAGCACGTCAGCCGGGCGCGGCTAAGCTCTGGCCGCCACGACATCCGTGTCCACTCCCCGCGGCGAACAGGTCCGTGGAAGGCCGCCGGCCGGTCTCGGCCAACGGTCAAGAACGCGCACGGCGGCGCGGCTGGCTGCCACACGGCTGCGAGGAGGTCTGAGGCTGGCTGCCACACGGCTGCGAGGTCTGAGGCTGGCTGCCACACGGCTGGGAGGAGGTCTGAGGCTGGCTGCCGCGCGGCTGGGAGGAGGTCTGAGGCTGGATGTTGCACGGCTGGGAGGAGGTCCGAGACTGGCTACCGCACGGCTGGGAGGAGGTCCGAGACTGGCTACCGCACGGCTGGGAGGAGGTCCGAGACTGGCTACCGCACGGCTGGGAGGAGGTCTGAGGCTGGCTACCGCACGGCTGGGAGAAGGTCTGAGGCTGGCTGCCACACGGCTGGGAGGAGGTGTGAGCGCGAAGTGGTCGGGTTGGCCTCCAGCAATGAAGGAGGGGAGCGGGAAGCCGTTGTTGCCTGAGCCTCGCGTGGGCACGTGGTGGCAGCGGTAATAAGCTGTTGCACCGGCTTGGACTCAGCTACCCAGCCCCTCGTCCCTCGCACCTCATCGCTCGGCCGCTCAGGCGTCGAATCCTGGCGACGCTGAGGCCTCTGGCCCACAAAAGGAGGATGCTTGAGGCTCACCCAAACTAAACAAATGCCGCAACTGCCGAGAATGGACCACCATGCCGGATGTAACAACTGGCGGTTGGCTTAGTGGTGCCCACCACGTGGCCGGGCGAATCACGTGATCTCGCGGGCGTGGGGTCTCGCTCGGGGCGATGGCTGGCCACGGCTGGGAAGAAGGGCGCAGGCTCGTCTCGGTCTCCGGGCGAGTTGTGCGCGAGGTCGGCGTGCACCTCACGCAGGGTCGCAGTCTGGATATTCTCGATGGGGATGGGGGGCGGGGCGATCCGGAGCCAGTGAGCACTCGTCATAAGATAACCGAAGGAGTCGTCCAAGGTTCTAAAATAAAAGAAGTGGGCGTTGGGGAGGCGTCCCATGCCCTGACCCCCGCCCCCATCCACCGAGACTGTGCCACTGGCTCAGTCACCTGAGACGACCATGAGGTCACAGCGATGTCACCTTAGGGCGGCACCTCACGCTTCGGTCTCATGCCATCCGCAGCGCTTCGCGTGATTTGCCGCGTCGCGAGAGAACACTAGCACATTTGTCTGGACCGCATCCTTGGGTGTTTCACATTGACTGGGCAGTGGGAATTGATGGTAATGGTGAGCGACGATTGCGGCGCGGCTATTGTGGTGACAGCGGTGAAGCCAGCTTGTACGTGAACTGTCTTAAGCCTCGCCCAGTACCCTGAGACTCCGCCAGGCACCGGGGCTTAACCCAAATCCCGTGTCTCACCGCCTCGGCGCGAGAGGCGGGACGTCCTCTGCACGAGGGGTGCAGCCTCTACAGGAGGGGCGCAGCCGGGGGTTCCGGTTCCCTGGCCATAGCGGCGCCTCAGCGCCGTCAATAGATCCGCCTGATCTCGCCGGCCTCGGCATCGAGGAATGAACATCAGTCGGCGACCGCCGTAGGCGATTACGTCGTCTGATGTATCACAGGGGCAGCCACGTGAACCAATGGGAATTATTTGACACCCGGCAGCCCATTGTCCTACTGGCTTACTGTCCCTCATTGTCTTGTCTCACAGCCTATGCCTTAAATCCGCCTCCGAATTCCCTCCGGATCTATTTTTGGGATCCCGTCATTCAGCCAGCAAAACGCAGGTGCCGCGTGCACACGTCACGTTTACGACCCATCGCTGGTAACAGCGAAGAACGTGACTTTTCTGGGCACCGACAGAGCCATGCGACGCTTCGGCTAGCCACAGCTAGAAGCACATTGGCACGTCATTGGCACATTGGCACGTCAAGCACAAGCACATTGGCACGGCAGCACGTACCGGTTCCGGTCGTGATCATTGGGGCTTAAGGTCGCATTCAGCTGCTGAAGCTACCTGGCGTCGCTTGCCTCTCACCCTGGCAGGAGGGCGGATGCCGTGAGAAGCCGTACCTTATACTTTTGGTTTTCCATTCGCGCTACGGCTAACCCAGACGCGTTAGCCACTTCACTATCGGCACCCCGAGCCTGCGGCCGGTGCGCGAGCCATCTGTTATTTTTTGTCTGCCTTTAAAGGAGTGTCCCACCTTTGGAGGAATGTTTGAAAAATATTCTCTAGTGGAAGCTCAGATCTAGTGAAGTCTAATAATAGCACTGGATAGTATCTCTGCAGTGCCAACAAGGCATAATAAATATATCAATGTTTATTGCTTCCGCGTCCAAATTGCGCTGCCAACGCTTTGTAGCGACACTGCGCTTCTTCCGTGGTGTAGCGACCACTGTCATCACCACGACCGTGCGCACCTCTACTGGTCCGAATAAAAGGTTTGTCATTAACCCAGCGCGCAGGGGTCTGTTATCGAGTAGTTGGTTGGCTGAAACTTGAAACCAGTGAGTCACATGGACCATGTGTTACCTACATTCCCAAAGCTCAAGCGCTTCTCATACGCTGGAAAAAATAATTGCAATGTATTACTTTCATAGTGGTGAACAGGAAGCCCAATTACATTTCTCACGCAGGGCTTACTTCAAATTGAAATTCTGAGCTCAGAAGGGTCTCGAGAGAATTGATTTTAAGGATCAAGTCTTGTGCGTTTGATGTAACAATAAGTGAAAAACACAAAAAGGTGGGATACTCCCTTTGAGGGAAACGTTTCACATTTGAAGATATTGAAGCAAGCATCAGATATGACTAAATAAGCTGACTATAACTATTGGCATACTTTTTAAGTGGAAAAGACTGCTCTAAGCGGCACAATTCTCTGTTCAGGAGATATGCCCCCCCCCCCCCCCCCCCGATGCGTCACGGCCTGATTACGTCATCGTACATTGCACAACATTGATTGAGTGCCAATTGGAGGCCGCTGTATCTGGAAATCGCGCTCACGAATACCAGATAAAGACGTCTTAAGAATTACGATTTTTCGGCTTTGGATCACCGCATGGCTTATGGAGTGGCAGGATTTGAATGGCATTATGACGTCATGCATGGCAAGGTCACTTTGAAATTCTTTCCCGATATACCTCTCCCCATTTTCGTGAGCGTGTAGCTAAGAAGCTAAAGGGGCTTAGGTCTTGGAGAGGCAGGGCTGTGAACAGCACGGACAGTTCTTCAAGATAGGGATTTCAGTTTAAGACCCCAAACCAACATAGAACGCTCCCTTTAATAGGGAATGCGTGCTCAAAAGCGCGCAGCAGGCTACCTAGTAAAGTGCGAAAGTGGCGTCGTGAGGCTGGCTTCAAGGTTCTGGTGCTTTTTTATCCATCTCTGGATAAGCCACTCCTACCCGAAATCGTGAGTGATTGGTTCCTCTGTCTGAGTCAACAAACATAGCCATGCTTAGCACTGCGAGGTGAACGCGTCCGCTGCTATCACGAACACGAAGTCATAAGTAAAGGCATGGGAAACTTTGACCACATCTTGACCACCAGCAAAGCTATCCAAATTCAAGCAAACTGGAATCGTGTGCCGACCCTCAGTTCTGCAATAAATAGCGGCAAAACCACCACATTCTTGGCAACGGAAAACAATGCGGGATTAAGCTTGGCGATGTGCCCAGGCGAACACTGTGTCGAGGCAGTTCACGGGCAGACGGGCCTAGTTATGGGCCGAGGTTTTGGATTCAGGATTTACAACCCGTAGCGTTTACATGCACCATGACGCAGTGGGCGTCAGAGGTAAAGGATGCACTACATTTGCTTCGATGTGTTCTCAGTTAAGCGGCAGTTCTCAAATTTTCATGCATCAAGATAGCGTGCGAAACAAATGAAACGGGTGATCTCACTCGCCACAAAACCGTCCCATCGCTACCAGACTGCATACCCCCCGACTCGCTCATCCCTTCAAGGCGTAAAATCAGCAAAACGAACGGGAGATACCACAGTGTAAATTGTATTAGTGATCTAAAACCTCTGCCACACTTGACTGGTGTCACCGCCGCGCTGCAGGGCGTCTATCAGCCGCTCGAAAAATCCAGCAATTAAGTACAAATACGACGCACACTGTGTGGTGGGAGTGGCCGGCGCCGGTGGCATATCCGACGCACCGGGCATGGTTCTGGCGCACCACAGAGGGCTCTGACGTCACACCCATCAGTTGGCTCGACTGCCCTGTTGACACGCAGACACACATACAGCGAACGGGCGACGGCCAGCACTCCGCTGCCTGGTGTGATAACGCCAGAAAGACCACGTCTAAGGAACAACCGCAAGCGAGTTTGAAGGTGAGCACGCGTTCATAAACTCGCTGTGATAACGTCAGGAAGATCACGTCTGAGTGACAACCGCAGGCGAGCTTGAACGGGAGAGCGCGTTCATAAACTCACTGTGATAACGCAAAAAGCCACGTCGAGGAGACAGCCGCGGGCGAGTTTTAAGGAGAGCACGCGTTCATTAACTCACTAACGGCGAGCAGGGCGGCGACTCACTAAACTTCTGCCGCCAGCGCGTCACCTGTCCGTTCTTTTGAACTGAGAAACTGGAATACGACGGTCGCGGGTGGTGGTCTCTTGACTGGAGCCGCAGCCACAGCACACAATCGGGGAAATATTAATACTAAATACAATAGCATAATACATTTATCGCTAGTCCTAGCTCGTGTGAACACACTATTTCGAGAGTCGCGCCGCCACAGACACTCGGCGTTTGGCACAGCTCTGGCTAGCCAGGGTCATTCACATCTGGCACGTGAGACAAGTGAACAAATACACGGGGAGCGTCACTGCGCCATAGCCAAGGGTCACCTACCCTACACACACGGCTTAGAAGTGGTTTGGCACTGCTACTTGTTAATGACGTCGGACTCCAAGCATCAACCTTGCACGCATTACTGGTCAAACCAATCGTATTTAATGCGTCAGTCCTGTAGGGTTCTGAAACTGCTGTAAAACTGTCAGGTGAAGGGGTGAAATAATCCTCGAAACACGCTTATCAGAGACACTCCTGGTGACAAAACTCTCAGCACTTTGCATTGCTATGGTCGACAGATAGTGGAATAAGACCATCAAACGCATATGTTAGATGGCAGGGAAGTCTCTTGCTATCGTGTTTGCTACGCGTGAATAGTCAAACAATGATGGGAGCAGGAAAGAGCCGACAACTTCTGAAGCATTTTCCGCCTTGACACCATTCTTAAAACCATCTGGTACGCAGGGGATGCCAAATCGTTGCTTTTACTGGGCTTTGTGGTTGGTTGGACGCGGATAGCACCAGAGACCCTCAACGTGGAATGAGAGGCAAGACCAGGGTACAAGCCATGCAAAACATATGAAAATACTAACACTGTCTGATAGTGAGCAGCATCGTTTGTCATAGTACACCGGCGAGTGGGTCATTTACAGGTAAACAAATGGAACTTAAATACATGGAACAACCATCTAACGGCTTATTATCTTCACCTCGTCCAATAAGCTTGAAATCAGTCCACTGCGAGTAAAACATCGGTAAGGAATCCACAAGACGGCAGTCCCCATTGCACATTGAGGCAGTGGTGACACCTGTTAGAGGCGGGGTGGGCTCGCCGTCCGCATCTGGCTGGGGAAAGCGCTCGACGGCATTAGCGTCGCTCCAGCCCACAGTGCACCCAACAGCACAGACACTCATCAGTGTACAGAGTTCTCAGCACCGGCACTCCCAAGAGCGTGGAGCGCACTACGTAGCACTCATAAACTTAGCGTCGTCGAGTGAACCCGGTAACACTGGAACCCATCACAATGCAGTGATCACCAGGACCGCCATCTTGGCTCTGAACGCAGCGTTCCAGACGACAGATGGCCGCTGAGTTCAATGCTTCTTGCTCGCTTCAATGTCTTCGATGGCGTTGCTGTCAACAATTTCATAGGCTGCCGAAAAGCCCTTGGAGTTGATGGTGTCGTCCGACTTGAACAGGACGCGCAGCACCTCCCGTGTGGAGACGATAGGTGGCGGCACCTGTAACGTCAGAAAACCAATCAGGAAACGGCAACAAACCAAACGACCAACAAATGACTGCCAATTTACCTGATTACACTTGTTTTTTTCGCTCCTAGCTCCGCTTTGGGAGACAGAGACGGAGACATAGACAGAGAGGCGCGTTCATTAATTGCATAACGACAATCTGCATTGCCCGGCCTTGATTACATCGGTCCTGTTCTCCAGTTCACCAAGGGTTCTCCAACTATTCAGTTTCCGGGCGCACTGACGTTTTGGCTTAAGTGGACCCAACATAACTGTACCACGTATTGCACTTTTACAGACAGACGGCCAGAAACCCCATCACAACTGACGGGCGTTCCCGGAATCTTTTCTGCAAGCCGAACCCCTGCCCTTCATTGATTTACGTGCAAAGCACGCGAGCTCAAAGCCGATTTTTGGCGTTTGCTTGCGGACGGACAGAGTTGAACTTTTTTCTGAGTAATCAATGTTGCAGAGAGCATCCCAGCAAACCGGAGCGCTTTTCCGCTACTAAAAATAGCCAAATATAGGGTCATATTAGCGAGCGTAGACAATGAATGTTGCTGCATTCACTTCCTGAACCCTGAGATTGAGCTCCTCAATTTCACGATTCACCAAGCATATTCTTTTTCATGATCTGTCACGGATGCTTGATTTACATCACTTGTGGCATTATCGGTGACCAGCATATTGACACAACTGGTTTTCCTTATCAAAAGTCTGAGACTGTCGGTGGCTATTGGTATCAGTCTTACGGGTTCACTGGCTTCAAAGGCAGAAAAGATAACTACAATTGCTTTCCTTGCTGGTGAGCCGGCGGATTTCTCCGATGACTACCGGCTTAACGGTCATCCGAGCTGGCTTCAGATGGTGTCACAGCTGGTGGTGAAATCAATGACATTTAAGGGAGGGTCGTATTAAGGCGTTAAGACCAAGTTTCTTATATCAGAGCCATGAACCTTTCGTTAAACTATCAAAATCAAGGATTGGCGACTGTGCCCGCACTGATCGGGCCATTTCAAGCATAATTAAAGTAGCGGTACAAACGTGAGTGGAGCCCTAGCTTAACTCATCCGAATGGGACAGATCTGGATGACCTTGAAGGTTTGAGGTCGTACTTCGGTGACATCATCCAGCTCTCCCGACTTTCATAAATACCTAAGGCCTAGTCAAACCATCGCCGCTCCTGCGTGAACTCGACCCGGCATCACGCATCGCCTCACTGTTCATGCCCGTCTCAACGAATGCCCCTCCCCTCTCCTCTCCCCACGGCGGCTGTCCAAGGCGAGGGATCTGTCGCTGTCACCTTCCCAACCGCCGTACCCGCCCGGGCCCCAGCCTCACGCAGTTCAATCTACAGTCCAGGCATCCATCAAAGCACATGACAGGCAGAGCTGGCTTAAGGAGCGAAAGAAATTTGACACGGGGGGGCCCAGTCGGCGGCTGCTTTCTCGGAGCCAAGCCTGAACAATGGCATTACGAAACGCTAAGCCTGTCGCCATGGTCTGGGTTCTGAGCGTGCGCGCTTAGGAATTACGCGTATAAGGGAGGAATGTTTGAGCTAAGAACAGGGGGGGGGGGGGCTGCGCCAGGTTGCGCTTTCGTACCCACCATCACCTACAGAACGCCGGCTGTGCACGCTGCCAGCGCCACCTGTCCCTGATTCGATTCGCTCAAACCTCGCACGCTGTGTTCGGTTGTTAAAGATACGCACAAATGCCAAACGGCGGGCGAGACGCACAGAGCAGTTAGGTGCATCGGCCTGCTCCCATAAAGTACTTCGGATTAAGAAAAACTGGACGGCAAAGTAACATAACCTGAATCCTTGAACAAAAGACTTTTCGATAATACGTAAGTCCTTAAACGCCTTTGCGAGCAGCATTATGCATATGGCTATACAACTGAGACAGCATTAGCTGCCTTACTCCTCGTGGAATAAACAGGATAATGGAAAGATAGATGTCATCATCTCTGATCCATCATCATCATCTTTTGCTGCATTCTGGCTTATTCATTCTGATCTACCTCTACATTCCCTTTCATTTATTCTCATCTCTCTCTACACCTATCTCTCCATTCTCTTCTTTCTTCCATCAGGAAAACGGCTATCAATACTGTCTCATCTAAATCCTTTTCAGTTACGCTCCAGGATGAGTTTCAAAGATAAGAAGTGAAAAACCGGCCTTGGGACGAATTCTTCCCAATGACATTGCAAGTCTGGTAGCGCAAAATCGCGCGGCAAAGAAAACCCATCCAATCCAATCATGCTACGTATGTGACAGCCTATGAAACACGCATTCTCAGGTAGATGACACATCATCACAACAAACGCAAGCTATCGTCATCTTTTTGTGATCCCTCAGTTCCTTTTTGTTTGCTTGTAATGGCATCTCAGAAGCACAAACTTCTGAATCTAAGCGCTTAATGGTGTAGGCAATGTCGGAATATCGTGTGGGAACACTCAAAACAAGACTGTCCTTGACCTCGACCGAGTCTTTGCCAATATGACGTAGTATCACGGGGACTTTGACGCCTCACGCTCAACGCAAGATAAGCACGAGACCTGCATCATGCGACCTTGAATGTCCAACGAAGTACTCCCCACCCCATTCTGTTGGCGAAGGGAACGGTTGGGCCATCGGTATGACATCCGCACGCTAGACCAACGAGCATGCGGCAGCCACCAGTAAAGCAACGCCACGTCTTGGCTCAATAATTCATACTCGCGACGTCCGGGCAACTCTTTTCGGAGCAAAAATCGTACTGCGCGTAACGGCCGGGTTCTGCCAGGGGTCTAATTTGCATGTCCAGGCCCGTCTACCCCCAATGCCCGCTGCCACCCCAGAACCCCAGCCTTGACATCGGTTTGGTATTTATAGTTCGTCCAGACGCTTACAAAAGGACGCCTTTTGTTTGAATTTCCCTGATGACTAAGCATCTGGACGCCATCCCTGCATAGCACGACAAGTGTTTCTCTCCATTATAGCCATTGAGATCATGCATAATTTACCTGGTGATAAATTGAGATCGTGACATCAGCCAAGCGGCAAGCGGCAGCGGCAGCTCAGCTCTGCGCAAGGTGTCTGACACGTGTCGAGGCCACGTGCATACTGACCTGGTTGCCGCAGTACTTGTGGGGCACGTGCGCGGTCTCGTCGAAGCCGTCCAGCACCTCAACGCCATCGTAGCCGCAGTCCTGCTCGTCCTCCAACTCGAACGTTAAAAACCTGTCGATAGATGGCAGTGAGCTCCATCGCCACACCTGTGAACCGTCTGAGTAGCTTGGGGAGAGGAGAGTGTCAAATGTTTGGGATCACTCTCGATATCGTTACGACTTTGTTCTGTTGTTTGACAAAAGGACAGATTGAAACAATTTGCGTTTCAGAGAAGGGGCAGGGTGAGAGCGATAATGTTTTGTTTCTGCTGGTGGCGTGGACGGCTTTTCTGAAGAATCCAACAAAATCCGACATCTCCAACGGCCTGAGCCTTCTACTTCGCCACCTTGAAAAAAGCCTCTCGCAAAATAGGTCAACATGGGGTCATGACGTTACAGAGCAGAGGGAACATTTGCCGAATACCTGGAAACCGTATCGCAGAGGCCAACTGCTTTCGTCGTCAAAGATATGCGAAAAGTGTTTCATTAAACCGCAAAGAATTCCGGACCACTCAAGCGTGAACTTTCTTTTTTGGCTTTTCCATGTCGGCAAAATTTTTTAGCAAGTTAGAGCGGCAACCAAACCAAACGATAAAAAACGTGTCTACTTTAATGATCACATCTCACCACAGCTTCCAACGCCTGTTGATTGTTTCCACCGTTCGCAAGCGCCGCGCGGTTCACCATCCCCAACCCGAAAAAACCCATGCCCTACAAATGGATCCAAAGAAAAACAAGATGGCGACGCCAATCGCGCAAACAAAACAAGATGGCGGCGCCCGTATGGAGCGCCTGTGTCGCACGGACCTCAGCCGGACGTTGTAGCCCACCGGCGCCTCGATGGTCCAGTCGCACTCAGCTCGGTTGTCGTAGTTCTCGTCGCCGTACTTAGCGTGGGAGTAGAGATGCTGCACTTCCCACTCGGCGTACAGGTAGCCTCCGCACACTGCCGACGCGGAGGGGGGTCGTGAAGAGACGCTGCAGATCTGCTAGATAGACTGGCACTGACGCGGAACGGGTAAGGTTGTATGCTGTTGGTGTACTGCAAGCGAGGTTGGATCATCATCTGGCCTCCTGATCGTGATACAGCCGTACGTTGGCTTGTTGCTTTGACGCCTTGGCCGAAAATACACTGAACTAAATGACCAGTCTCAGTGAACTGACCCTTTGACCTTACCTTGACCTGACAATGACCTGCCGTGGACGGCAACCCGCCATGATTAACGACCTTCGCAGGGTGACCTAGTCCCGATCAGACCTTAACCTTACCGCGACATAATCGACTGATGTTCCTCATCCCAGTGCCCTAGTCTGACCTTGAACTTCCGTGACCTTGAGCGGCCTGACCTCGACCACCCGTGGCCTGACGTTGACCTTGCGTGACCTGACCTGTGCTGTGCGCGCCGATGAACCCCTTGCGCTGTACGCTGCCGTCGGAGGTGAAGGTCATGTACATCTCGTTCCTTGACGCCGTGATGGGGTGGGGCGCCTTGGCACCGCAGAAACTGCAACGCCGGGCGGCCTTGGGTGAGCACCTCAGGCCAGCACCTCGGGCTGGCACAAGCCAGGACTGCCGCCCGGACCGGCGCGGCTGGTATTAACACGGGCGTAGTTCGCTGGCCACGCGACCGACGTCATGGGTTCCGGGGTCTGTCACAGAAACGGCTCACGAGAGGTTCCACCCATCGCTTGACCATCATCAAAGAACATAGCTGCCCGCCAACAGTTCAAGCCATCGGGTCTCCACGTCGCGACCCCTTCCACCCACGACTCCAGCGTCATCCCCTCGAGTTTGGACGGCCGGCAGCAGCACTTACTTGCCCAGCAGCACGTGATCGGCGGAGTCGCCGTCGTACACTGATATGTGGTCGTACGTGCACTCTTGGTGGTGCTCCAGGTCAAACTCGTTGAACACCTGAGAAAACGAAAGAGGCGATCTGGCATTGTTTTTAAAAGGCTTAATTAGTGTCGGTTTTGGTACACCATTACTCCAATGGCGAGTGCTTAAGTAACATAGTACTTTGTGTGCGAGATCTGAATGTTTCTAGTAGACTTTTGAGCCACTTCAATAACAGTTGTTCAAAATTACATCCTTAGATGAATATCTGAACTTGTTTGTATAATCAATGCAATATTTCTAATGACGCGCAAGCCACTTAATCCTCAATTGAACATTTCTTGATATCCGAATAAAAAGGTCTTACAACACTGTTCGCACTTCGACAGGTTTGTTAAACACAGTGCCAATCACAGAAAGCCAATCAACTTACACAATGTGCCGTTCGCACCAGGATCTTGCAAAAGCTGTCGTAGGCTGCCAAATCACACGTTGTACCATATGGTCTTCCATTGAAAAATCATCTGCTTTGTCACACCTGGCCGAATTCAGGAGCGCGGCGTCTTATCGAGGAGCGCCCAGACCGGATCTTACCAGTTTGATCCGGTGCCCGGGCGTGGTGCTGAAATGCCAGACGCAATCCTTCTTGCCGGGGTACGCCGCCGGATAGTTGGGGCTGGACACCTCTCCAAACGGCGCTTCGATTTCATGTTTGCACCTGAGGCCGGGCGGGAACGGTAGTCAGCTCCGAACCGGTACACTTCGGCGCATTGGGACGATAGTGATGAGATGATGACAATGTGTTTTTAACTATTGCCACAATAATGATGACAACATTTTTGACATGCTACAACAGTAATGACAATATCTTTTAAAATACTGTCACAATACCGATGGCAATATCTTTTAAAATATTGTCACAATAAAGATGACACTATGTTTTAGCACATTGTCAAAATAGTACCGACAATGTTTTAAAAATATCATCACATTAGTGACGAGGCTAAGGCATGATCGCCACACGGGTACACAAACCAAGCTACGCTGACGCTCCTTTGCGCATCACCGCGTCACAGGCCGCCACCTCGCAAGTTGGAACACGACACTACCCAAAATGCGACGCGCACGACGAACTCGGGGTCATATACACTGGATGCTGTGTGGCCCCTGTTACCGAGCGGGCTCTGTCTGACCACAGATACTTTTCCTAAAGTTCGCCGCAAGCTGTAGCTGTATTTCAGCCCAGGCACTCTAGAGGAAATGCGCGGTCCGGGTGACACCCAGTTGCTGCGAGTTTGGCAATAAATAGCGTCAAAAGTTCGCACGAGATTCATGGCTGTTTCAACTGGGTCGTGTGGACATTGAGCCGAGGGTGGCGTTAAATAGAACAGAAGGTTTCGTTGCAATCGCCGAGGCAAACACAACTTAATGTCATTATTTAACATACAAAAATTTGTCGCCGCCAGATTTTGTTGCTGGCTTTTCTTGCTTTGCTTCCTTTTCACTTCTGTTCGTTATCATATACAAGCAACATAACAAGTTAAAGCTGAGAAGTATCTTTAAAGCAACTAGGCTGCTACACAAAGATGGTTATTCAGACACATTGTAGCTTGCAGCGTCGCACGCTATATGACATGTATTTTTCGTCTTGCTTTTAATCTTTGCGCAGCAATAATTTCACTTCTTTTGAGATATAAGAGGTACCCTACGTCAGCTTATTGATGCCTCGAACTTTTAGTGTTTATAGCTGCGAAATTAAATATGGCGGCACCTTGCGTCACCGGATTACGTAAATGTTAATCAAATAACCCATTGCAAAGCTGGCTGCACTTTCCCCTTTTCGCGGCCGTCAGGGATGATACTACACAAGTTTTCATTTTTAAAGCATATATCAGAGGTACCTATACACATGTATTTAACAGATCTACGGCTGTCAATAACCAGTGATCACTACCCAAAAGCCAAATCTAGCATGATGAGCAAATCCAAATGTCATAACTTTAGCATGACGAGGAGATATAATCATACTGCCACTGCTCAACCAAGTGTCCACTTTCAAGCTACCAGGCTTACATAAATTGCTAGCGCGCAGCTGCCCCGTCCCCTCAAAAAGCACACCTCCCGAAACGACGACATAGAAGACTCCCCCCCCCCCCCAACGCCCGGGGCACCCGCCCACCGCTCACCCTCCCTCCTTGCAGTCGTGGCCGTTCTCGTGTAGGGTGAAGCCGTTGTCGCAGAGGCAGATGTAGCTGCCCACGGTGTTGACGCAGCGATGGTGACAGCCTCCGTTGTCGGTCGAACACTCGTCCTTGTCTGAATCGGAGCCAGCCACGCCGGTGACCGTCAGCGAACCGCGGACTGGTGGACGCGCATACACAATAACCTCGCGGGGTCAAACCGATGTTCTGGGGGTGTAGAGTGAGAGGGGAGGGGACGGACAACGGATTACCCTTCCGCAAACTAACACCGGTATCCCTCGCCAACACCCGTCAGCGCCCCTTCGCGTGCGCCGCACCTGTGAAGAAGAAGCCGGCGAAGCCCGTCTTCTCCACCGAGTTGTCGGAGAAGAAGGTGATGCGTAGCTTGTTGCTCTCGGAGGTGACGGCAGGCGGCGGGCTGCCGCCGCAGAAGGTGCCATGCGAGCGCAGCTCATCGCCCGGCATCACGCTCAGCAGCTCCAGCCGGTCGTAGTCACAGTCTTGCTGGAGCCGAGGGCAGAGGCGGACGTGAGCGGTCTCCGGAGAAGGGGGAGAGGGGGGGGGGGGGTCACAGTTTTGCTGGATCCGAGGGTAGAGGCGGACGTGGGCGGTCCCCGGGGGAGGGGGAGAAGGGGGGGGGGGCGCTGTGGGTCGGACGCGTGGTGCTGACGCCGCTCGCTGGCACCGCCATCTGGCGGTGTCAACATGTGAAATATCTGGCAGGCTCGACGCAGCCTTGTCCAGCGTATCAGCGTCGTCAATTTAAACACCAGTTGGGGCACAATTATGTGGAGTGCTAGACAGTCGTGTGCATTTATCAGTTCAAACACTCCAACACAGCTTGACGCGTATATGCAGTTACGTAGTAGACAGGGTGATAATTCTGAGAGTTTTAGAAAAACCATAACCTCAGACCGTCCCTAGTCGGCGGTTCCGTTTTCTACGTCACATAAATTTCGATGTACATTAGTACGCAAACATTTCGTTCCACAGCTCCCCGATTAACTCTTTCCAGCTGATGTGTATCCCCATCATACTGGCCGCCCTTGAGGGCTTCAACATGTCCTGGCACTGCAACACTCTGCAAGCACTCTCTGTATATCGCGTGACCCAACAAGGCATTGGGCTAAGCAATATACTATACTATATTGCGTAGCCCAATATATACTATATTATATACTATCGCTAAGATGTGTAACAGAACTCCAGCAGTGCCAAACCCCACCCCAATTTGCAACAAAGTTGCGCTTTTGTTCATACGTTCTCCATTCCCTTCCTCAAAGGAAATCAACACCCCTCTTCGCCGTTATCCACCTTGAAAACCACCGCCTTCAAGCTACCCCCTCAAGTTTCGAAAACATATCGACAAAGCATTTAATTAACTACAACGCTCACTGGCAATGCCGTTACTTCGGTCACCTGCAGCTGTGACCCAAAAACAAAGCTCGTTGCGTTAACCAAACCCTGACCACACTGTCACAAGTCCAGCACGAGGGTTAGCCCCCCGGTCACGCACGCAACTACGAATTCACCTCCGTCGAAAGTCGTAAAATGCACCACGCGCCGACACACGCGTCGAACTCGGACGAGCGCCGAGTCAAGCGCCATCGCGAGTCCGCGCCGCGACTCGAGTCGCGTTCACTCACGTGACTCACGTTGCTGCCCTCGAGGTCGAAGTGGGTGAGGTTGAGGGTGATACGGTGTCGGGGCGGCGCCAGCACCTCCCAGATGCAGCGCTTGTTGCGCGGGTACAGCTCCGGGAAGGACGGTGAGGTCACCGTGCCGTTCTCCGCCTCGATCGTGCCGCCGCACGCCTCTGGAGCACACGTGGAAACACGTGGGGTAACACGTGGAGACACGTGGTGGTACGTGTCGTGACCACGGGGCACGTCGGGGCGCGTGGTGGCACGTGATGTCATGTGGTGGTGTGTGATGGCACAGGGCAGCACGTGGTGACGCGCGATGGCACTTGCTTACAACGGGCGGCACGTGATGGTACGTGGTAACGCGCGATGACACGTGCTGACAAGGGGTGGCAACGGGCGACACGTGGTGAAATGTTGTCATCCCAGCACCACATGAAGTGAAGCGATGTGACGCGTGACGGCGATAGCACCGTAAAGTCACCGCACGTGGCAGTGCACGACGACACGTGGCGAGTCGTGGCGATACCAGCAGCACGTGGCAGCGCCGATATGGCAATGGGATGTCTCCTACTGCGCATAAACGCCTAGCTTTGCACACCTACCGCCGAACAAACCTCCCGATAAAATAAATCGAGCCGCTAGCAGATCAAAGTTCATCGCAAACACGATCGAACATGATCGAACATGATCGCAAACATGATCGCACAACCAACCAAGAAAAGCTTTCGCGCAAGGCAGACCAAACCCTAGCACCTCCCCGAACAAGCGTCCGAACGCAAGACATCGAACCCCGGGATAGGCAAACAACCTCCCGTAACGCCGACTTATCCACTAGCCGCACATAACTCGGCAACTGACCTTCGCAGCGTTTGCCGTCGGAGTGCAGCTCATAGCCAATACGACACGCGCACTTGAAGCTGCCGCGCGTGTTGATACAGCTGTGCTCACAGCCGTGAGCATCGCCGGAGCACTCGTCCAGCTCTGCCCGGGACAAGCATGATGAGTTAGAAGGAGGCGGACGAGCTCGGGTGTGTTGGACGAGCCGGATGAGCTAGCGCAAGACAGACGAGCTCGGGTGTGTTGGGAGATTGGGACCAGTTAGAATGGGCACGGCAGGAGAAAAAAATTTGAACGGGTGGGAAATTTTTGAGCGAGCTAGACAAATGGGTACGAGCTAAATACGTGGGACGAGTGCACGAATGGGACGAATTGGAACGAACTGGAATGACGAGACCTATGTGACGAAATTGAACGGATCAGCCTGTCTATGATAAGCGCAAGAACTAGATGAAGGTTGAATGGAACGAGCTGGGACGAGGTGGACAAGAAGGGATAAGATGAAACGAGCTGGAACGGGTACGACTGACTGGACGAATGGGCCAGATGAATGGGGATGGGATCATAATTGGAGGGGGTCGAAGGGGTCAGATGAATCAGACGAGATCAATAATGAGTTGTACTTGATGTAGGCAACAAAGGTCTTGAGCTTCTGGCTTTTCAGCACGACCTCCTTCCACTGACAACATTTTAGTACATTTCAGTATACTAACGACAATTCAGTACACATTTCCGTACTTGGAGGTTCCGGCCACGCCAAATTATCAGGCAAGTATTGGCCATACTGAAAAAGACTCAGTTTACGAGCATTAAGCTGGATTAATATAGCCAATGTTTGTCTGCTCAAATCTTTTGATCATCAATTCGCGAGTCGCTGAAGCCGATTTTTGTCAAAACCAGAGCTTTTCACTATGATGAATAAACGTTAGAAGGACATATAGCGCAATGGACACGGCAGTGTTCGATACACAGCGTAGGAGTACGTGTACCGGCAGGGCCCGTGAGAACGCAAGAAACGGGTGCCAGTCATAACTATTTGGCGCCGCTTGGTATGACGTCATCATATCGCCATGGATGTCCAGCCAGCACCATTTTTCATCCTCAAGTACGCTGGGAACGACATCACCATGCGTTCTACCTCTTAACCCTGAACTCTGAACTTTGATAAATGTCCTCCGAACTCTTTGCTCTAAACTCTTTGTACCCTCCTGTCTAACTCTGAACCCTAACCTCTGAGAAATGTCCCCCGAACTCTGTGCTTTGAACTCTACCTCTAGCCCTAACTCTGGGTCAGATGGCCGGCTGACATCGGATGCTCACCCGTCATGAACGTGGCCGAGAAGCCGGGCTTCTCGACGCTGCCGTCCGACACGAACCTGACCCAGAGGTTGTTACTCGAGCTCGTTAGCGGCTCCGGCAGCTGGTACCTGCAGACGGCCGCGCGTGCTCCGAGTAAAGAGGGGTTCACACCGGCACGGCTCAGAGCACAGTCGGCTTCCGGCAGCTCGCGCAGCACAGACTTACAACCATAACACACAAGCAGACCGATCAGCGTGGGTCCGTCGTCCATGTGTGAAAGCGTGGGAGCACGTGTGAAGCATGGCAAGGCGGCCCAAAGCGGATCTGAGAACTCACGGGTGAAGCTGGTAAAACGTTACAGAGTCATCGCGTATCGGCAGGTCCAGGTCACAGCTGATCACACGTCACAGCTGCAGACCATAGCTGTGCAGGTCACAATTGCAAAGGTCACAGCTGCACAGGTCACAGCTGCACAGGTCACAGCTACATAGGTCACAGATGGACAGGCCACAGCTGGCCACAGGTCCCAGCTGACCAGAGGTCACAGCTGGTCACAGGTCACAGCTGGTCACAGCCGGTCACAGCTGGTCACAGCTCGTCACAGGTCACAACTGGTCACAAGTCACAACTGGTCGCAGGTCACAGCTGGTCACAGCTGGTCAAAGGCTACAGATGGTCACAGGTCACAGCTTGTCACAGGTCACAGCTGGATATAGGTCACAGCTGGTCTTAGGCCGCTGGTGCTCAGTGAGAACATTTGCGCTCGGTTCCGACTGGGTGGTGTTATGGAAGGCGGGGCACAACCGCGCCCAGCGAGGCCCCCCGGTCGCCCACTTGATGACGTTTTGCGGTGCGCGTTCATATCGTAAAGAAATGTTGCCAGCGTGGCATCACAAATTTCATTTCAGCCAGAAACAGCAACCATTATTAACGTGAGGGTGAAAATTTATAGAGTTGAAAAGGCTTAAACAAACTGTGCAGTTTCGGGACGATGCATAAGACGCAAAAAAATCCAAATTTGTGTGAAATCTTGACAACGGAGGGGAAAGAGAGCGTCACAACCTGCATTCCAGCCTCCATGATTTCTCGCCACGCTTGGTCCGCCTGTTGAAATCTGACCGGGCCTGCACCACCTGACCTCTCGCAGGCCGCCACCAGAGGCGCGTCCAGCGGCGGACAGTGCAGAGGCGCACCCAGCACGGGGCCAACAAAAGAGACAAGCTGCCCATAAAGTCTTTTTGAAAACGGCGCATTGGTGCATTCTGACCATACGTTCTTACCCGCAGTACTTCCCGATCAGGGGCGAGTCATCAGTGGGCCCGTTCCTGACTTCCACGTAGTCATAGAAGCAGTTGTCGTGGTTTTCCACCTGTCAAAGTCGAGAGAACAGACCGATGCGTCAACGTGGTTTGTGTAGCCAACTAGTTTCATTCAACACGACTGTTTGGTGGGTGTGCACGTGTACAGAGCTCGCAGAAACGCAGGTTTTTAAGTATGCGCACAAACCCATCTCTGCTGACCAGGAGCGTTGGAAGTGCGGCGTTAGTTTGCAAAGTGACAGCCACTGTAAATGGAATCTTCCCTAAAACGCTGGAACTGTTGACGAAATGCTGCAAAGTCACTTCCAGCCACCTGTGAGCCCATCGTTGTTATGAGAAGGCTGCCGGACGTCATCACAATTGCTAGCTTATTAATCAGTGCACACGGCCACCAAGTTTATACGACACCACGCCCCAGTGGACAGGGTGTCAAAATTCAGGATTTTGGGTGGAGAATGACACCTTGTATGGACGTCATCGAGGTCTTAGATTGGGATGTTTTTCGCAACAATGGTACACCGTGCATGGATAAATGGAATTTTCAGCCGATTTCGGCCATCCTCGGGGTATTGAGCCCGACATTTTGGCCTCCATGCCATTTTTTTGCTTGGGCGATTTTGATACCCTGGTGGAGCTGGTGAATGGAAACCTAGTAAACCATTGACACCATTCACACTATTTCTCACTTAGCAATGGTTCATCCCCCACTCTGAGGACAAAAGTCTGCAGCGCACCAGTTTTGGGTGCAGGCAGCTCACTTTACCTGACCTCACCTGACCTCACATGACCCGACCTCAACTGACCATACATACGACCTTCATTGATCTAACCTCACCCCAACGACGTCACCTTCTCTGGCTTACTTACCTCAAATGCGGTGAATTCGAAAGCGATCTTGTGGCCCTCTTCGACGGTAATCTTCCAGATGCAGTCCTTGCTGGGTCGGTAGTACTCGGGGTAGTTGGGAGACTCAAGCACCCCGTCACTCATCTTCATTTCCCCGCCGCACACCGCTGCGGCATCGTCGCCATCATGTCATCCGCAGACACTGCCGCTCTCTAGCGTCAACTTCACCTCCCTGATATGTACCGACTCGGGCAGCTGCGTTGTCGCGCAGGCTCGCACCAACGAAGGCGGACGCCGAAACTTCCACTGACCAAACTCGTGTCGCGGAGGTCACGGTAGCATTGAGTATGAAGGTCGGTGCGTTTAAGGTGCGGCAATGCAGATCATGACCGAAGCGTTTCCGACGAATGCCAAGACAGTGTATACAGCGGCGGTGGTTGAAAGCGTTTAAATCTCAAGAGAAAACGAACTTGAAGGCCGTGACCGAAGTGCACGAACAGGACTGCACCAGACGGTATATCTTACCCGTGTAGTTGGCTGTAAATCCCTCGCGTTCGGCAGACAACTCAGTGATTCTGTAAGTCACCAGCAGGCGGCGCCCCGTCGACACGACAAGATCTGGCAGCATGCCAGAACCACAGTACCGCCCTGTGGACGAACGGAGAGATCGGTCTATGTTTGCCGGAGTTGACTGAGAACAGAACCGAGACGGTAGTGGTTGGTGCGAATGGCTATCGCTTGAAGTCACGCCTATGACCGAAGTAGTTTTATCCAAGGAAGCACGACACCCGTCATCGCGCGCCCTTGCATGGCACACTTTTCCCCTCCCCTCTCCCGCAACACAAAAGTCCCGTCACCTAAATCCCTGGTCAATCATGCCGCTTCAACATCACAGCCCACACCCGCTGCCGCTGACGCAGCTGACTGCACTGCGTCCGGCGGCGGCTGGCAGACGGCTGGCATCGCAGGACTGCCGACGCCCCCCCCCCCCCCCCCCACACACCCCGAAGGCAATGTGTGATGGCCCCGCGATGCTGGCCCCATTCGGGGTCAGAGGTCAGCGCTGACTCAATGCGTCTACGCCTGTCTCTACAGTGTCTTCGTAATGGGCCGGGTTTAGACCCTAAGTACGCAACTTCAGCTTGAGCCGCACGGTTTCTTGAGCTTTGAGTTCGAAGACATGGAGCCCTGAGTTCTTGCTCTAAAGCTTAAGGTTCTTGATCTACAAAAGCTTGGTGTGTACGTGACGCCTCACTTTACAATAGCTTGGTGTGTACGTGACGTCTCACTTTACAACAGCTCAGGGTGTACGTGACGCCTCACTTTACAATAGCTTGGTGTGTACGTGACGCCTCACTTTACAACAGCTCAGTGTGTACGTGACGCCTCACTTTACAATAGCTCGGTGTGTATGTGACGCCTCATTTTACAATAGCTCGGTGTGTATGTGACGCCTCATTTTACAATAGCTCGGTGTGTACGTGACGCCTCAGTTTACACTTACCATCGTTGTATAACGAAACGGCTTCAACCAAGGCCAAACTGTCATGAAACGACCAGCTGTGCGGCATATTACCGGTAATTGAGATCATCTGGCCATTGCCCACAAGCACATTATCTGTCTACGCATGAAACAGCAAACATCCGCTCGCTCTTGATGTTATGTAATCGTAATTCTAAGCGCTAGCATTTACTGACAATCTTAAGACAATCCTTGTGGCGGCTTATTACTTGTCACATGGCGTTAGCATAAATCAGGTGAAATCGGAACCGTGCTGCCAACTTTGAGCCCATACATATTTTTGCAACCACGTGCAAAGGTTTTGCAAACTTGTCATGAAACGGTTGGACCACGGGCTTTGATGGCAAAATGGAAAAATTAACATTATCGGTAAGTTCTCCACCATTCGTTGCATCTACGTAGCTACAGTTTTGGAGCAATTAAGGTCAAATCAGAGCATTGCGTGGGGCGTGGCCACTTGTGCAGAAATTTCGTTTACAAAATTGTGTGCACTGAAAGTCGACATAACATGGTCCTAAATTATTAAGCGCATGCCACTATTCACGTGGTCTGCTGAGCGTCCGGTGGCTAACAATCTAAAGTTAATAATCAACAACATGAAAAGAAGTCTGCCAAGGCCACTGCAAAGAACATGGCAATGCAAACAAAAGCCGAATCTGAGAGATGAGAGAACTATGTAACACGCAGAGGAATCCACAATGGGGAAGTGGAAACCGACATAGAAAGATAAGTAGCGCGTAGTTAAGAGAGAAAGCGAGACACCCTGCCGCGATATCGTGAAATGGACAAAAAAGGGCAGACGAGACGACGGCATGTAAAACGTGAAACAAACAGAACGGAAGGCTGTATTATACATTATGAAAAAACTCATGGTTTTCTCACAAATCTCCCCGAACTGCTCGATACAGTTACAAACACAAGACTGGTAGCAGCTGAGGTCAGGGAAGTCAGTTCAAATCCTTTTGGGGCCTCGGGTCCACAAGGCTGGCTTGAGCCCCTCCCCCAATGATTCTCTGAGCCCCCTCCCCCACCCTTTAACGCATATGAGCAACGAAGGAATTACTGGGCCTAATAAATCCAAAACAATTATATTCGTTAGTATGCTAGGTAGCAGGTACCTAACCACATCACTACCAGTATCACGCTCATTTTGTTCCAAGAAGTATCGTGTAGGTATCAATGTTTGACGAGCTTATTTTCCCCCCTCAAATGACAACACTTGGGTTGTGATAAAGGACAGCTGACCGCAATGTGCGGCAGCTTTTAAAAGTGCATGGGGTCCCAGCTAAAAATTGCCGCACGTCCGCCCCAACAGTGGCAAGTGCATTTGTCGTATACTCGTGGTCGTGGTGGTTATGCAACACGATCAGCTACAGCGGCAGACATCAGTGGTCCTTTACTGAGATTTTCGGAAGATTGTTCTTGTGAATAACATCCCATTCTAAGCTTTTAACAAAAACGCAGCTTACATTTTCTTGAAATGGGAAGTCATTCCTCCGCAGAAAAAAACTGGAAGTTACGATCCCCTAGAAAGTATTGCTCTTTGAATGCAATATCCATGAATTTACTCAAGTGGCCGAAATCTGGGGGAAAATCGCGCTAAGGGGTAGCTCAGGTCAACCTTATGGGCTGAGCCCCCCCCCCCCCTAACCGAGCTCAGGAAGTGACAACCCTGGATGAGGCCCAAGCTAAGCACAACATGGAAACAAACATCAAGTTTTACATCCAGCTGTTCAGGCGTTGCTCAACCAAATCCAATCGCAATTTCGTTAAAAGAGTATCTTTATTTTTAGCAATATTACCATTTGTGTTGCCATCATCATCACCACCATTATTTATTACAATTATTACCATTTTATCATCATTTTAACATTTTTACGCTTATTTGTTGTTACCATCACCACCATTATCTATTACAATTGTTACCATTTTTATCACCATCACTATTATCATAATTCGTCATTACCATTATTACCACTATTACATACCATTATTTCATTTATTTGATCACGTTTCATATCGCACGTGCAATGAAGACTGGACTTTTGCACGGATGACTCCCTTTGCGCGGAGACGGCTGTCAACGGAGATGGACAATTTGTGACCACGTGCTTAACCCGTGTCTTCCTCGTATTTTTTTTTTTTTTGCGATATCTGGGCCTGAACGCACCCCTTTATGTCAGAAACACTTGGAGGCGTGATAGCCAAGTGCTTCGCGCCTTCATCTCTCACGGGGGTTCCCGGGTTTGCATCCCGGCTGCGCCTTGCCCCCCCCCCCCCCCCCGAGCGCTATTGCAGTCCCTGAAGTCGCTAGCGCTCCATAAAAGGGTGCGTGGCGACGTACGTCACGTTTCCTTTAAAACAAAAACATTTAGCAGGAGTTGATACAACAAGACCAGTGCCAGAGAAGACGTCAAGGGCAAAGCTTAGGATGGACTTAAGATTTTGAGGTGCTATGTAGAAAATGACCAACATTCCACATACCAGGGGGGCAGTGGCTAAAAAAACACCTAACAGAAAGTCATTATGGTGTATGTTATGGGAGAACTCGGAGCTATGCCAAAATATTTTCTAAGCATTTCATGATATAGCCATTCGTAGTATTTTCTGCCGCATAAAAGGTCAGTCATTTGCAGCATAAAAACTCCCTAACGCGAAACACAAGAGGCCCTGGTCAGTGCTAAACGGAGCCCTAGTCAGAGCAAAACGGCATCCTGGTCAGAGCCGGACAGAGCCCCTGACAAAGCCCTGGACAGAGCCCTGACCAGAGCCAAATGGAGCCCTCGTCAGAGACAAACGGAGCACCGGACAGAGCCCTGGTCAAACCCGAACGGAGCCTTCGTCAGAGCCCAACGGAGCCCCGGACAGAGCCCTCGTCAAAGCCGAACGGAGCCGCAGTCAAAGCCAAAGCCCTGCTCCGAGCCGGACGGAGCGGTCTGCGCGCGCGCGACATCAGGCCGCCGGTGCCGGCGGCCGCACCTGATGGTGACACACGTGACACTTGCGCCGCCCCGGCAGACAGTTCGTAATGACGCTAATGAACCCAATCAGCGCCGGCTAATAAAGGTGGCACCGGCCGGCCGATGTTGGCAGTGACGGCGCGTGACGACCCGACCGGTGCATCGGCGCGAAGCGGCTCGCACTGGTGAGCTTGCGAGTCAGGGCGGGGAGCCGGGAGTCAGGGGCGAGGGAGTCGGGAGTCAGAGGGCGAGGGAGTCGATGGGACGGTTCAGTGAGTCAAAAGCAGCGAAAGGCATAAATTGATTGTGGGGGTTAGAAGTCAGAAGACAACGTCATAAACAGGGGCGGGGGAGTCGGGAGTCGGGGGGCGAAGGAGTCGGAGGGACGATTCAGTGGGTCGAAATCAGGGACAGGGGAAATTAGTCGTGGGGGTCAGGGGTCAGAAGAAAACGTCATAAGCAAAGACGCAGAAGGCAGAGACTCTGATTCCGGCAGACCATAGTCACAAGTGGGAAAAACTGTCAGTGAGTCATGAATTCCAACATCAGGAATCGGGAGCCAAGGAGTCAGGGGCTAGGGGGCTGTGTTTTATGGCGTCAGGAGTGGAAAATCAGCAGCCAGGTATTTAAGAGCCAAGGAGTCAAACATCCGGGACTTGGGGAGGGGGATGGGTGGCATGTAGTAACGGAGTCAGGGGGCGTGTAGTTATGAATCAGAAAGTCTGTGTCACGCACATGGGGTCAGTAGCCAGGCGAGGTCCTCTGGAGCACAAGGCAGGGACAGGGTAATCAGGGGCAGCAACTGCGGACTGGGGATAGGGCCATCACCATGGTTCGGGCAATAGCACAGCAGTTGTCACGGGCCACAGGGTGTCACCTGTGACTCGACATGTGACTCTCACATGTGACATGTGACTTGTGCTTGTCTTTCAGCCAGTGGTGGACCCCAGGGCACCAAAGTCGTCGTCACACGGCGAACGGAGCCTGACATTGGTGCTCCTCTTTCAGCCAGTGGTTGACCCCAGGTCACCAGAGTCGTCGCCATGGGTCAAATGGTGTCACTGTCCGACTTTGACTGGCAGCTGGACAGCGCCGAGCCCCACTCTGTCCGCCGCAAGGAGATCCTCAGTAAGAGCGCGTGAGATGGCGCATGGGTCGATGTGACCTTACGGCTGAGCCGATGGAGATGTGAACTCAAGGCAGTGATGAAGAATAGGGTGAAATTTTGGCAGCACTACAGGAGATGTGAGCTTTAGGCATAGCTGCCGGATAAGCACAGTTTGGGCATCGCCAAAAAGACATAAACACTCAGGGCTGCATTGACGAGGCGAACTTACGACATCGCTAAGCGTTACGTGAACTTACACGTTGTCGGTGGAGGATGGATTACAGCAATACTGAGTGACACGTTGAACTAGAACATCACTACAGAAAATGTCAGCCCAAGGCAACAACGAAGGGAGTTTGATGATTATGGAGGTAGGAACATGGTAAGCACGATCAGGCAGTCGTAAACCTGTGGGCATGCACCAACGATCAGCCTCGTTCGTTCTCAATTTCCAGAAAAACACCCCGAGATCAAAAGCCTGATGGCGCGAACCGACTACAAAATGGTGATCATGACGTACGTCTGCGTCATCGCCCAGCTGATGACGTCATACATGGTGCGGGACGCCCGATGGCTGCACGTGGTTCTGCTGGCCTACACCTTCGGAGGCTGCATGACACATCTGCTCTGGTCCAGTGAGTTACCGCGGGTGAACGAACCGAGGTGAACGAACGAACCCTTGGCGGTGGGCGTACCCATGCTTTCTTGCGGGAAGGCTAGCCACATTGGGGTTTCCGAAGGTTTTTTAACGTCCTTTCTTTTCCGGGCGGACCTTTCGATGTAAAAGTCAACATGTTTCGCACATTTCGAAGCATGGATAGTGAGCGTTACACATATAAGCAAGAGTTGTAGTGCTATACGTTACACTCATAATACACGCCATCACTAAACTGGCGCGTTACCATAACGCTTCACTCATTGTCACTCGGCTCCCATGGTTCTAATGTGCTCAAAGGAAACGATTTGTTACATTGGGGCAGCTTCCGTTTCGTGTCTCCAACATGTCTGTGGAATCTAGAGACGCATGCGTCACGAAGGCTCAAGTCATCCGCGTCGCCCCAATATTGTGGAGACCGGAACCGGCTAAAGTTCACCGCTCCTGGAATTGAGCCCAGACCTGACGATTTAGAAACCAATGTTCTAACCACTCGGCAACTGATAACCGGCTGCTTCGCAGTTGTGCACGAGGCCTCCCACAGCACGCTGTTTGGCCACAGCAGGCCAATGGCCAACGTGCTGACGGCTATGGTGGCCAACACACCGGTTGGCTTCCCCATGGCCGTCACCTTCAAGCGGTACCACATGCTTCATCACAGAGTGAGTTGGGACGCACCAGGACTGGGCCCGGGTCGGCTCGGTTCATCTGTGTCCAATGCTCATGCGGTGTTTGCTCGCAGCAGCGTCCGCGCGTTAATCAAACGCGACAGCGACAGCGAGATTGGCAATAACGTCAGCCGACTTCAGCGTCAACTTTTTAATTGCCGTGTGGACGTCATCACGGTCTGGCTGTCGCGAAAGGTAAAGTGGGCGAAGGTGCCGTATTTCGGGCCTTCCGCTGTCCTCCACGGACCGCGCGGCATCGGGCAACCGATGGTCTAGTCATACATCAAATGTCCCATTAGAACGGTGGTGGGTACATATTGCCAGCGGCGTGCTATTAAATTGGGGATAAGACACACTCGAAAAAAATCTGCAGGGTGCTTAGCCTGAGGTGGGGGCAGCACGCTCGCGCACTCAATCGATATATTTTTCACTGCATCACACTGCTCTTTTCATCCACTTTTCAAGCACTTATCTTTAACCAAACGTACTGAGCCATATACCCTACTCAAACAACTTGTTGACAAACACCGTAACGCGCTCCGGTGCGTGTTCACCCTTACGTCATCACGCTAACCTGGGCCGGGTTTAGGCATTCATACCACGCTATCTGCGCTAACCCGGACAGGACTTGCCTTTGCCACGCGTGAGATGAGTTGACTTAGCCGCAGCGCCCATTAAACCCAGGTGACTGGTGCCCCGCGAGCGTTGAAGAGTCTCTGCCATGATTACATACGTGTTTATCTGAGCACTCACCGCCCAATCACTACAGCCTGAACGACGCTGTTTGAATATGAGCAGTGCGACCGCCGAAGCGTCGGGGTGAACTCATTTTGCTGGAAACAGCGATGGTGGAGTATATTTGGAAATGGATGTGGCGAGCAGGCGTGTTTTTCCTTTCGTGCACTGCCATAGGGTTCATGCTAAATGTTACATAAAGCTGGAGGGGCGGCTGCTCCTTCCTCCGCCCCTCCCCCGGGGGCTAATTCATTGTCCATGGCTGGAGCACATCCACTGACGTCACTTCCCGTCTTAGTATCAGGGTGACGGTCGCTACGACGTTGACCTGCCGACATACTTCGAGGCCAAGCTCTTCTCCACCACCCTGGGGAAGATCGCCTTCTGCATCCTGCAGCCCGTCTGCTACTACGTGCGACCGCTCTTCATGCTGCCCATGGTGCCGACGCTGCTGGAGGTGGTCAACGTCGCCCAGATCCTCGCTGTTAACTGGGCGGTGGCCCACTACTGGGGTATGTATGGCCTGAAGTGTGAACTGCCCTTGAACCGGGAAGCAGCACACTACTCGAGCACGATGCGGCAGCACAAGACGCCAATGTTCAACACCACTTGACGTAACATGACCGATCAATACACAACGCCGTCACTGCTTTTCCAGATATCACGTTGACTCTTGATGACACCCAACGCCGGTTCACCTCACGGAACAGCTTGCGCTGTCGTGTGACGTCGCCGTTCATGCCTCACTCCGTCACAACATCCCATGCAAACACATCGATTTGCGATGACGTGGGATGTTTCTTTCCGCACTCCAGGTGCCAAGGCGTTCTTCTACCTGCTGGGCGGGTCGCTGATGACACTGGGCTTCCACCCGCTGGGCGCGCACTTTATCGCTGACCATTACCTCTACGAGAAAGAGAGCGAGACCTACTCCTACTACGGCTGGCTCAACTGGTTCGTCTTCAACGGAGGGTAAGTTAGGAGCTTTTGCCGCTGGTGGTCTCAGAAATTTGGTGTCATCACACGACGCAGGGAACTCCTGTGTTCATTAGCGCCGCAGCCCTTCATGGCCATTGCAGCGCTGGTCGGCGAAACAAGCGTCCACCAGCGCGACCAAAACCAACGATTCGGCACAAGATCAGGGCTGCGTACTCCCGCCACCTGGGCTACGGCACCCCAACAGCGGCCTCACGTCAGCTGTAGTGCAGTCTTCGTCGGTCGACCACGGGGCGTTACCCAGCGACATTAGCTGACAAAGCTTCCACTGGAGTCCGACGAGGAAGTGTCAGAATCCAGTGGGAACGCAGGGAGGGCAGATAATGAGATGCGCGGGCGATGCAGTAGATACGACGGCAGGCTGCAGAGTAGGCTGCGAGCAGCAGGCTGCAGAGTCATATCTGAAGAATTCCGTGCAGTCACGTGCAAACTGGTCCAGCTCGCGGCAGCCAGCAGGCCGCGCAACAAACCAAAGACTCGGACTTCGCAGCCGTTGCCGAAGAGCCCACGGCAGCACCCACAAGGGAGACAGCTTTCTCTTCTTTTCGCGAAAGAATGCATGGCACGCGCAAACGTGCGACACGTCGCGGAGCGGAACGAAAGCTTGGCCATGTGAGTTCCTCTCGGTGCACTTGCAGCCGTGTGTAGTGGTGGCCATGCCTCTTCCGCTGGGATAGGGAAGGCATCGCCAGCAGTCCTTGGTTCCCACAGGCCGAAAGGTGTCCCTCGCAGTACCCGTTACCACTAAAGAGTGTCGGAACTCGCCGCTGCGACGAGCAGCTCGGCACCACATCGGTGTTCGCTGCTGTCACTGAGTTGGGAGCTCGAGAATACCACAGGAGCAACCCAGCTTTTATTAAACTCTTGCCCACACCGTTAGCACATTGCTGCCCACAGCTAGGAATGTGGGTAGTATAGTGATTCAACGCGTCTGCGTTAGCCACTGCGCGTCTGGGAAACCAGAGGTACGGGGCTCCACTCCCCATGGTGCCCGCCCTTCCTGCCAGGGTGAGAGGCAGGCGACGCTATATGGCCTCAGCAGCTGAGTGCGTCGTAAAGCCCCAGTGACATCCATATACACATGCCCACAGCTACCACAACGAGCACCACGACTTCCCCTCGGTGCCCGGCGCCTACCTGCCGGACGTGAAGAAGATGGCTCCCGAGTTCTACACGAAGTTCACCCACGAGAGCTGGTGGACAGCCATGATCCGGTTCATCAAGGTACGCCACAGTTTCGCCGGCACGAGCCGTTCATTACGACAGACTGTCGTGGCGCGCGGTCGGGCGGTGCCAGGATCAGCTTGCCCAGATGATCAGGTCCCTTGACAATTCGCACTTCGGAAATGATCACCACTGCGTATCAGGTCCCCGCTTCCTTCAAGGGTTGAATCCGTAAAGGATCGGCCCTTGCAAGGATCAGGGCCCAGATCCTTCGGAGATTGGGTCCTCAGATCTTCTGAGAGTCGGGTTCTTTGGCATTTTCAGCACCGCTAGGCGCAAACTGCCCGATACCGCTAGGTACATATTGAAAGTAATTATGCGGGTTTCAGAGCCACTGTGGCATGGCTGGACTGATCGTTTATGTTTGAGTGGCGTTTAATCGCACCTGATTTATAATCGATAGCATGCTGCACCGTGTGCTCCTAAGTAATCGAACTTTTCAACAACCTGAAAGCGCTGGTCACTGACACCAGGCAATAATTGATACCCAAACTAGGCACGTCAGGACTGTATAACGCGAGCCATCAGTGGTCATGGTCACTGGCTAACGTTCCTCATCTTCCCCACGACATTGGCACGGGCACGGGCTAACGTTCCTCATCTTCCCCACGACATTGGCACGGGCACTGGCTAACGTTCCTCATCTTCCCCACGACATTGGCATGGACACTGGCTTACGTTCCTCATCTTCCCCACGACATTGGCAAGGACACTAGCTAACGTTCCTCATCTTTCCTAGGACAAGGACATGGACACTGGCTGACATTCCTATCTTCCCCAGGACAAGGACATGGGCATGTACACCCGCCGCGTGCGAGAGATCCCCAACGCCCGCGCCATGGACATGGACACTGGCTAACATTCCTCATCTCCCCAGGACAAGGACATGGGCATGTACGCCCGCCGCGTGCGAGAGATCCCCAACGCCCGCGCCTCCAACACCAAGGACTCGTAAACCGGCGTCAGGAGCGGTCTGCCACCAGCCCAGGCGATCCTGCGCCAGTGCTGAACCATCCGGGTTCCGGCCCATGTAACACGAGGGAGTCCGGGAAACTGAATGTCTTTGTCCGCATGTTACGTCATAGTGCCGCTGACATGGCACTGGCAGGTTCTCAGTTCACCTCGCCAACAACGGCATGTCCGAGCGCTTGACGGGCAGGAGAGGTGATGCTCCCAGTGTTGTCGAAGTTGCCGAAGACCGCAGGACGGAAATATATAGACGTCGCCGAGCGACTTCTGACGGTGTAGGAGGCAAACGGAATATGACGGCTTCTCAACGAACTGAGCTTGTAGAATGAGCGCATTGAATCCAAGCTGGGAGGTCCGACTCCTGTTGTCACGCATCCAATCCAGTACGTGCATGAGGATGGACAGCCAGGTAGCACGTTTGGGAGGCGTTATTAGTGAAAGGTACAAGGTCCACTACGCCTTTCGCCTAGCGGTACTCCTCACCTAACAGAGCGCTGTGATGCCAGTATCCATCGCGGACCTCTAGGTAGTCGGTGACACAGCCGTCGCTGCTGTGGATATCCAGACTGGAGACGTTGAGGACAATTCGCTCGCCATGCGTGGCGGTGATCCGCCACTCACAGAAGTGTCCTGGAGGCGGTGACAATCGCATGTAAACCTCAGACAGCGGTGATCCGTCACTCACAGAAGTGTCCTGGAGGTGGCGACATTCGCATGTAAGGCACAGACAGCGGTGATCTATCACTCATAGAAGTGTCCTGGAGGCGGCGACAATCGCATGTAAAGCACAGACAGCGGTAGTCCGCCACCCACAGAAGTGTCCTGGAGGAGGCGACCATCGTGTGTAAACCACTTACAGAGAGCATGCGTACGCTATGGAGCGCCACCTCGTCTAAGTCACAACATGCGACCTTCCGCGAACCATAGAACACGCTCACGTGTGCATACAACCCAACACAGTAATGTGTAAACCAGAGAGCAAGACAACCTGCCATAAGCAAG